TGGCACAGTGGAAAGAGCACTAATCAGAGAAGCTGGGTTTGGTTTGCAATCCTGGCTTTGATTGGCTGCAACCACGAGCAGCTCGCTGGCCCTTCCTGTGTTCATTTTCTTCCTCTGCAAAAAGGGGAGCGATGAATGAGGCTTTGTCTAAACTCCTAAAATTCCATTTTCAGCTCTGGTCTCAAACTCACCATTTCCACTGACAGAGGAGAGGTATCGTTGCCTACCATCTTACAGAAGGCAAATACAAACCAGGGCCCACCAGCTTGAGACAGCCACGCCACTCAGGTCTCCCAGGAGCTGCCTGGCACTCTTCCTAGGCATCAGGAATTTAATGAGAACCTCTGGGAATCATTATAATTATTCTTTGTGAACCAGTGCACTGTGGCAAGGATCAGAGTCACCCTCACACATTCAACCATATACTGATCGCTACCTTAGGAGCCTCCTTTGCTGTCAGAAACTGAAAAAGTAAATTATTAAATTATTCTCTCACTGAGATCGAGCTATTCCCTCCAGGGATGGTGTCGAAACAGGACAACAGGCAATTACAAAGGGACTTGGCAGTACCACAGACCACTGCTTTGTAACCGGGGTTTGGGCAGGCTGGGGCCAACCCTCAAAAGCAGGATGCCCAAAGCTCTGGGGGAGCCGGCTGTGCCCAGTGCTGTTTCAAACCCCTCAGATGTCAGGTTCTGCAACAGAAACTGACCAACTCACCTTTGTGAGCCATGAAAGTTACTAGCAAGAAAAGTGAATATATAAACACACACACACACACACACACACACACACACACACACACGTATGTATTGGGGGTTACTTGGAAGGATCATTAAAGGCAGGTATATGTTTACAAATTGCAGCCAAACTTTGTAGAAATAAACATTTTTTTAACAGCTAAATAGAAAAAAGAGCCCGGTTGGTGTAGCTCAGTGGATGAGCATCGGCTCCTGCACCAAGAGGTTACCGGTTCATTTCCCAGTCAGGGCACATGCCCTGATTTCCAGCTCGACCCCTAGCAGGGAGCATGCAGGAGGCAGCCAATTCATGTTGATGTTTCTCTCTCATTGATGTTTCTATCGCACTCCTTCTCTCTCTCTCTCTCTCTCTCTCTCTCTCTCTCTCGATCTCGCTCTCTAAAGGTTCAATAAAAAGATATTTTTTTAAAAAATGTAGAGGAAAGAGAATATACCTATAACCTTTACAAGTTTGGTTTCTTTGTGATTAGTCACAAAGCCAGGCTGCTCTTTTGAGGTGATGAGTCAGTCTGACAGAGCAAGCCACACCACTCGGTAGAGCCTGCTACAGCCAAGTACAAAACACTTGCAAAATAACTGAACTGTTGGCTCCGGTATGAGCGGAACTGTATGTGAGTTATCAGCTTCAGGAGAAAGCCAGTGGGGGACCATGACATAATTAGAACTTTAAATTCCTCAAGAGTCATTTCCTGTGTCTTTCTGTACAGTAGTTGAATACTCACTTATCATTTACTTCAAAAGCAAAGGATGTCTAGTCTTAAAGGACTGCAGTATGTGTTTACTCTGTTATAAATGACTGGCAGGGTTTGAGGGTATTCAACATAACCACATTTTTTTGACTATTTTTTCAAGTTTTTCTTTCCAGAGCTCAATTAAACATCAAATGCTTCAGGTTAATGCCCTGGCAGGGAGCAAGCACTCCCACATCTACCATATCTCAGCAGTTAATTCTGGCTCTGCATCAAGGTGTAGCAGAGTAGAGCTCTCTTTCCCCGGGTTCTAAAAATCCCTTCGAGATAAAATCTGATTCAGAATAACCCTCAGACCAAGGAGCTCTGCCCACATCAAATGTCCCAGGTCATCTAAGTTTCCCAAGTCCTCTGGCCCCCACATGCGCCATCTTTGATAACCAGACTCACTTTGTAAGCAAGGAAGGCCAGGGCTCTAGAACACCCACATCATGGCATTTATTTGCCATGGTGAGGGTTTCTAACAAAGTCTTTGAGAAAGATGCAAAGCCAGGAAGAATACCTTGATGAATAGATTCATATTCATTCAATAGAAGAACTGTGTTTATAGAGTTCATTATTCAGGTTTTCCTGTGTCAATAATTCTGGACAGTGGCAATATTGTGCTCATATGATTCCTCCCACTTTACTATGAACATAAATTTGGCTCGAGTTCTATAAAAAAAATTTGGAATTACTTAATGCTATTTTTAATTGCAATAATATCCTGTTTTTAAATCTAAATTATTTGGACTGCAATACACATTATGTGTATTATATGCACATGTAATCTCTGTATCTATATAGGCATAATAGAAATAGAAATATTTAAATATCTTTCTTAAAATGGTCTTTAGATAATAATAATATTTACAAAATGCTTTACTACAAGTAAAGTGGTTAAGTAGTGGCTCTGAGATTGTGCTCATAGATTCACTGCCACTTCATAGTATATCCATACGAGCTCCTCAAGGGAGCTACTGAGACGGGCCTCTGCCAGTTCTACAGGGAGCACTGCAGCTAAGATGGCCCTTACGGCTGTCCTGATCGAGACAACAGGGCATGGTCTCTTTTTTAAAAAAATTGATTTTAAACAGAGGAAGGGAGAGAGAGAGAGAGACACATCAATTTGTTCCACCCATGTGCCCTGACTGGGGATCGAACCCACAACCTTGGCATATTGGGACAATGCTCTAAGCAACTGAGCAACCCAGCCAGGGCCAGGGCCTGGTCTTTAGCCACTCCCCAGAGACCAATCATTGGATGTGGGTCACCCTCAAGAGGGTGCGTCCTAAAGCTTTATGGTTCTCCCTGAGACAACAATGAGGACAATTCTGAGAAAAGAACTCACTGAGATCATGACAGCCGCCAACACTACCATACCAGGGGACTGAGTGCTTTCTCTCTACACATAAAAAAATATATCTATAGCCCTAGCCAGTTTGGCTCAGTAGAGAGTTGCCCTATGGACTGAAGAGTCCCGGGTTTGATTCCGGTCATGGGCATATGCCTGGATTGCGGGTTCAATCCCCAGTAGGGTTCGTGCAGGAGGCAGCTGACAAATGATTCGCTCTCATCATTGATATTTCTCTCTCTCTGTCTCCCTTCCTCTCTGAACTCAATAAAAAAATATTTTTTAAAAAATATATCTATAATAGCAAAGTTATAATGAAACAATCAAAATACTCATTGTTTCACTGTAACTCTAAATACATAAGCATATGAAGCAAGACTGGAAAGTAATAAGCAAATGAAAATAGTAGTACTATAAATAATGTTTTGCTTTTGTTTTTTTTAAATATATTTTTATTGATTTCAGAGAGGAAGAGAGAGGGATAGAGAGATAGAAACATCAATGATGAGAGAGAATTATTGATTGGCTGCCTCCTGCATGCCCCCCACTAGGGATCAAGCCCGCAACCCAGGCATGTGCCCTTGGCCAGAATCGGACGTAGGACCCTTCAGTTCACAGGCCAACGCTCTATCCACTGAGCCAAACCGGCTAGGGCAAATAATGTTTTTTGTCTTTTTTCAAAGTTGAACTCAAGGATGTTGTTGTCATACTGTTCTTACCATTTTTTAAGTGTATATTTTTATTGATTTCAGAGAGAAAAGGAAAGGGAGAAAGAGATAGAAACATCAATGATGAGAGAGAATCATTGATTGTCTGCCTCCTGCACACCCTACACAGGGGATCGAGCCAACAACCAGGGCATGTGCCCTGACCAGGAATCAAACTGTGACCTCCTGATTCAAGGTCAACACTCAACCACTGAGCCATGATGACCCGGCTGTTCTTACCATTTAAAAGAAATGCTGAGATCTCAGGAAATATAATTTATAGCTTTAAAATGCCAGATATTATATGTTAATATGACTATAATGATTCCCAAGCCAATTTGTGTGCTCTAAAATACAGGGAGCATCTAAAAAATCATGTATGTACTAACTTATTAAATCTTCTCAATAACCCTAAGGTAGATACCTTTATTAACTACATTTTGTGGAGAAGAAAATTGAGTTTCCACAAGGTTATGTAACTCAAGATCTGCATGGCTAGTAAGTCATGGACTTGGGACTTGAGCCCATGCACTATGACTCTCAAATCCTGGCTGTTACCAACCATGCTTTATCGCCTATCACATACCTTTATATCACACCATACCCCTGAAGTCCCCTCCCAATGGCAGTAATTTGTCCTCTTAGGTTTCATTACTTCTTTTTTATTTATTGATTGATTTGAGAGAGGGGGAGAGAGAGGAAAGGAGAGAGGCAGACAGACAGAGAAACATTGATTTGTTGTTCCACTTATTGACGCATTCATTGGTTGATTCTTGTATGTTCCCTGACCGGGGATTGAACCTGCTCTAACCAACTGAGCTACCTGGCCAGGGTTCATTTCTTCTTTAAAAAATAAAAATAAAATAAAAAATCTTGCTTAAAAAAAAATCCTGCTTAAAACAGTAGAGAAATGAAAAATACTTTTAAGTTTTCTATGTTAAAGTCTTGAGATTTAAAGGTTTTTTTTAGATGCCAATGGAGATTGTAAAATTATGCTATTTTCCTTTAAAGAATCAAGCCTCTATTCTGCTCTCAACATAAAACAAGAAGCTTTATAGATACCTGTTTGAAGAGTGATTCTCTGAGTCAAGGCTCTACCCTCTCAAGAGACATAGAAGGACTAGACTCTTTCTGGGACTCAAGTAATTCAAGCTAATTACTGGAACCATTTCTTATCCTCTGAGGCATTATGGGAAATTCAACTCGAATTCATTAGCATTCTGAAAGGTAATTATTTTCCCAAAAGATCTAAGTGAATTTTTATATCCTATATTCAAAATGCCCAGCTAATGTTTTTAAAAGTAAATTTCCAATCCCCCAGATGGTTTTTTTCTTCTCAGAATGGTCAAGGGCTTTTCAACAGACAAGCCCTTTAGAACCCTTCTCCCATAGGGAAGCAGAGTGTCTATGCCCGGTCAGCAAGGCCTTCAAAGGGTCCACAGATCAGTCATCTCATTCGATATTTTATTTAAATGGAATGCATTTTTAAAATATGAAAAATAAATCACATCTCCCCAAATCATTTAAGAGACATATTTACACAAATTATGAGCATACTTAAGTTCAGGAATGTGATAGTAAAGCATTTGGTACATTGTGATACTTGTTTTTCAGAAGCCGGTACTTGCATATTCTGAAACTAAGCAGAAAGCCGACAGTGGAATGTAACAGACAATCATTTTATCTTCCTTCTCAAAATTAATACAGTGATCTGGACGGACCACCTATTATTAAAAACCAATTCCTCACTATCCCACTAGGCCAGCTTCAGAGCGACAGGGAGTAGGCCTCTCCAGCTTTTATGAAGATGCTGCTAATGACCCAGAGTCCTCTGCTTCCTTCACCGGACAATAATGCCCTAAGAAAACCCTGTTGGATCCTACACTCCATTTAGCAGATGTCCTGCCAATGAAGTTGCAGATCACTTTGTCATCTAATGGGATGTAATTCTAGATTGGCTGTACAACATACAGACCAAAAAGTCACCCTTCACATTGTGTCCAAACTTTAGAAAGTAGTTATTAAAAACCCACCCAACACAATTTCATAATTAATACATCTCAGGTTGTTTTTGGTAAATTGGCATATTTCTTTTATAAGAATCACAGATGTATTCAATATCAAGCTCTGTAACTTCCAAATTTAAATTTTAGTCAGCTGAAGGCATTTTACTGGTAAAGCCAAAGGAAGTTTGTTTACATTTACCAACAAAAAACAAACAAAAAACAAAGAGAAGAATGAATGTTCACAAGCCCATCCTCATCCTACAAAGCTCTATATTTTATGGGATTGATCTAGTTTTCACATACAGTCTTAGACCCCTCTTCTAAACCTGCCATTGAACATGATATTATAAACACTTGGAGACAAGCTAAAACCAAGTTACTTTCCATGGGGACCGAAAACAAGTGATGTGTTTGAACTTCCACACTAGCAACAAACTTGTAGTGTCAGATTTAAAATGAGGAATCTTTAAGAGAAATGGGTATATGAAGACAGAGTTTAAAACACACACACACACACACACACACACACACACACACACACATACACACACACACCAAAAAATGCCTTTGAACTTAAGCCAGACTTCTTAACAGTGTTTACATGTGAGGGGAATTCTTTCAAGCAATGAGTTGGGTTTTTCTACCTCCATTTGAAAAAATGTTAAGTGAAATAAAGTTGGTTCGATTTCCAGATGAGAAAATTCCAGCTTCCTCTATGAGGGAAATGTTCATTTTGAAAGAGCTCTTTATAGGCATTTACTCTGACCTCAGCATTCCCTGCAGGGCATAAGCAGATCCGATTTCCACTAAGAAAGTATGCCTGAGGAGCTTCCTCATGTTGCGCAGCTTGTCCAGGATTAGCTTTTCTCAGGGAATGAAATGAGTGTAAAAGGAAGCTCAGTGTGAGGCAAGAGAAAGAGAAACCACCTCCTGGGTGCTGGGATGTTACACACTTTTTCCTTCTTTCATTCATTATTCCCAACAAATAGTTATTGAGCTGTGTACGAGGCTTGGCGCCAACAGAAGTTTCAAGACAAAATTTCAGTTTCCAGATGAAAAATCCTTTAAATTTCCCAACTTTTTACATTTTATGTTTATTTAAGGGGTGAGTTTTCTGTTGGACCTGCCCTTTCCTTCTTCTTTTTCTTGGGTTAAAAGAAATACTTTTATCTTTTTCCATAAAGGTGATTGGTTAGGCCTTGTAATACCTTAAGTGTTTAATATTACTTTTTTACAGGTAGAATAGAACCACTGACACGCAAAATGCTTTGCATTTGTATTTTGTTTGTTTTGTTGCGCTTTGTTAAGCATAGTTGTTTCTTTGTTCTGGAAAATTATTCAACCATAATAATTTCAAAGTGTCAAAACACAAAAACCATCCTACTTCTCTCCTTTCTCATTTCTGAGTTTTCACAGTTAAATATTAAGAGATCTTCAAACTAGAGAGGCACTAAGAGGGTCAACTCAACATAAATATCACAGCAGACCAAGGACTAAGGGCTGTGGAAAAACAGGACAAGGAACCATGATTTTGATGGCCCCATTAGGAACCACAGACATGGCGGTGGAAAAATTCCACCAGCCAATAGCCTATATTTAAGCTTAATGAATCTTAATTTTAAAACTACTTGGTATAAATATTATCTTTTTATATAGCACAAGAATTGGAAGAAAAATCCTTCTATCTGGGGAAAAAAGCTGTGGTTTCATAGGGGTTATATGATCTACATATATTAAAACACTGGTACAATGAGGCATTATCTTAAAATTACAGCAGGGGTACCAAAGAAGCTGAACCAAACTTGGCTTAAGAACTCTTTAGATTTGACTCTCTGAGCTGCCCATCATATGTATGTGTGTGTGTGTGTGTGTGTGTGTGTGTGTGTGTGTGTGTATGATTTTTTTAAATCTTTGCAACAAATGTTCACAGCCACAACTTAAACAGCCTCTGGAAGTGGGAGTCCCCTTAAGTTCTATTTGCCATTTGCTCAAGTTTTAGATTACCCCTGCAACTTTTTGGATTAGAGTTATGGCCTCAAAATTCCATCATTTAAATATTGCACTAGCAAGTAATTTGACTGTGAAACTCCTTTCCAGATGGAAGGAGAATAAAGGTATCTCTAGCATAAAATTCTGCTTTCATTTCTTGACTACATAATTTAGCATTGGCCTAATATCGACCTTCCAATTTGGATGCTGGAAAAATACTGATCAAGACTTTGCAAAAGATAATGGAAAACAGAGGCCCGTTAGTAAAGCCATGCAGATAGGAAGTGATTTTCAGCCCCAAGAGGATTTTGTATCATCTATGGCTCGTTTTAAACCGAAGTAGCATCTGCCCTTGTGGATTCTGACCATCCTTTTGATTTAACACAGAAGAGGGTTTGTTCCACCTTTAAAAGTACCCCCCCCCCCCAACCCCTCAGGAACAAGTGCTGCTAAAACAAGACTGGGGTTGTTTTCCTACTGAAAACCCAGTGTTTATCCAGTCCTTCCTTTGTCAATGTCTGAGTTTAGTTAACCTAACAGCAAAACATATAACCCTCCAATTTCTCACAGAGCAATAAAAAGCAAAACAATTGGTTTCTCTGATTAACATTATTTTCAGTAAGAAAAAAAAAAAGTTATGACTCTTAGACCTTTGAAATAGTTACAAACTGTATTTTTAAACTCTAAGATTCTAGGATATGCTTCTAGAATAAAGTAAGGAAATGTGGTTCCAGTAAAGGGTGCAAAGCCCTTGGCGAAGGGTAATCTCTAGTGTGGACAGAACACAAAAATGTTCTCTCAGACAAGTTGAATGATTCCCTCCCGCCCCCGCCCCCACTATGTTTTTTGAAATGAAACACCTAATGCATTTATACTCATAAACCATAAATATCTCCTTATTAAACCCTTCACAGATGGCATAAGCAAGGTTTTTTCTACTGTAGACATAGCCCTACCACACATTCAAGATCATCCTGCCATCAGGTGGGTTACGTTTTAAATATTTCGGATTAGGTGTCATTACTACTCATTTCCTTTTAGAAAAACAGATTTTCACAATTACACAATTCTGAACATTTAGCTTCTTTAAACTTCTATTCTACACAACACAGAGTCTAAAGGGAAAAAAATAATCTCCAAAAAAAAAAGTTATATCACAGAGTTTAATTTCAACCACCTGGCATAACAAGTGTGTCCGGGTTCTGAAATTGATCTAGGAATAATGAATGAATGAAGTCTTAATGTTTTCCCCTACACCTCTCTTTTTTCCTTTCCAAGATTAGAACTTACTAGGAAATAGGTTTTTGAAAATAAAGTTCCTTTTCTGGAAAACGGCCTACATTCAGAAATGTCTTAGAACAAATATTTTTTAAAAAAAACTAATAAATAATCATAAATCAAAATACATTAAAATAAAATTACAGTACATCTTCGCTCCCAGAAGGTCCACCATACTGGGAGATCCTTTCAAAGGTTCATAAATAAAGCCTTCTAGCCTTGAAATCGTTTCCTGCATTGTGATGAGGAAAAGTATGCAGAAAACTAAGAGGAATTGCAAGTTATCGGTCGGAATTGCAAGTTATCGGCCAAACTACTTGGTCTGGTGCAGAGCAGGGAGATTTGTTTTCCATCCAAATGAAGACAACAGAAAGGCGCTCTCGTCCCACTTCCTCGAGTCCTCAAAACCTGGAAAGAAAGGACACCGAATGAAGTAGATGGCTCAGGTTCCTCCAAGACCCAGTTCTCTCCGGGCCGGTCAGACGGACAGAGCGTGCTCGCTAGGACACCGGGGTCGCTTCCTCCAGTGCCAGACACGGCAAGAGCCAGCGGTGCGGCTGGGCGCACCCCGCCGGACGCGTGCGGGCAGGGTGGGTGGGCAGGTGGCGGCCAGCGGGCCTCCCCGCCTAGCCCGAGTCCCCCGCGCCCCCCTCTCTGCCCGGCTTCTCCTGGCTCTAGCCTGCTTCGCTTCTTTCCACCTACCCAGAAACTTGAAAGAACTTCTCATTTTTCCACCCAAGAGCCAAACCCGTGAACACACTTCCAACTCCTTCTAACAGCCCGAGACCCAATCCTCGCACGGCCCTCGGGAGCCGGAGTTGCCGGGGCCTTACCTCGTCTTGCCCGGGTGCTGCCCCCTTCAGGCGGAGTTGGAGGTGCTGCGGAGAAGCCGGTGGCCGTGCGGCTGCGAGAGCGGCTGTTGGTGCGGGTGCGGTAGCTGATGCGGGTGCTGGTGAGGATGCGAGTGTGGATGCGGATACGGGTGGAGCTGTTGGGGCTGCGGCTTGGGTTGGGGTTGAGGCTTGGGTTGAGGCTGCGGCTGGGGTTGGGAATGTGTTTGGAGTTGGAGCTGGGGCTGGGGCTGGGGTTGGGGCTGGGGCTGGGGCTGGGACGGAAGCTGCGGCTGCGGAGGCTGCTGCTGGACCAGGTGCTGCTGCTTCTGCCGCGTGGACTTGACCGCCAGGATGGCCTGACGGTTCTTGTACTGCACCATCTGCAGCGTGATCTCGGCGTTCCAGCCTTGGTCCTGCGGGCACCGAAAGTCGATCTCCTTGCCTTCGGCCATCACCACAGTGAAGTACATGTACTTGCCCTTGCGCTCCACGCAGTCCACGGTCTTCATGTTGGAAAAGTGCAATTCCTTGAGCTTGGCCGGCGGCTCGAGGATGGCCGCGGTGGGGCCCCCGGGCTGGGACGGCTCCGCGGGCCCCTGCCCGGGCGGCGGCGGCGGCGGCTGCTGGTGCTGCAGCTGCTTGGGCGGGATGAGCAGGAGCCCCTCCTCGGTGAGGATGCAGCACTTTTTCTTCCAGAGCTGCAACAGCCCGTCGCTGCGCTTCTCCAGCACACCTTCTTTCAACGCCTTGCAGCCGCTGCTCTCCAACATCTTCCCGGCATAGGAGGGGGCGCCGCTCGCCTCGGCCTCTCCAATTCCAGCCGCCCGGGCCGGGGGCAGCAGTAGCAGCCGCGCTCCGTCCTCGCCCCAGCGACTCCCGCGGCGGCCGCCCGCCCGGAGCGCGCAGAGGAGGCTGACGCGCAGGAAGCAGAGCGACGGCGGCTCAGGGTCCGGGCAGAGGGGCAGCCGCGTCCTGATGCTCCACCAGGTCCCGGAGCTGCGAGCCGCCGGGCCTCGGCCGTCCTCTTGCGAGCGCTCAGCGAAGGGCACTGGCCGGGCCCCCTCGCGGCGCTTTTGAATGGGCCATCTTCCCCACCCCCGAGTGACACCCAGCGGAAAAGGCGGCTCTTGGCGCCCGCCCCGCGGGGGAAAGCCCAGCTCCGAGAGGCGCTCTGCCGCGGGCGCACGCCTCATTCACTTGGGGCCGGTCCAAAGCCGGCCGCGCCCACGCCCCCCGCTCCCTCGCCCCGCCTCTCACCGCCCCCTCGCTTCCGCGCTCCTTCCAGAGGGTGACGGCGGCGACCCGAGCCCCGGAAACTCCCCTTCTCCTTCAGGGGCGGCAAATGCCAACTCCCGGCGGGCGCTGAGGCCCTCCCCACCGGCCCGCCTCTCCCCGGCCGGCGGGGCCGTCTGCTAAGAGCCTCAAAAATGAAGATGGGGCTGCGAGGTGGGCACAGCGACCAGACAGCGCCCGGAGCGCCAGCCTCTCCCGCCGCCCTCGGGACCCAGCCCCGCAGAGCCGAAGTCCTGGCCGGGGCGGGCCAGGGGGCTGAGCATGAGGCCCGCGAGCCGTGGGATCCGCGGAGGTGTGCCCTCCCCGACCCTACGTAAACATCTCAGTGCACAAGGCCGAGAGGACACGGTGTCTTCACCCTCGTTTGCTCGCGGTCATTAACTGTGTCTTCTTGGGACAGAGAGGGCAATTGTTGAAACAGCAGCGCTCCCGTCCGTCCCATTTGGAAGGGGTGTGGGAAGGCGACCTCAGATGGCATCTCGCCTCCCTTCTGTCCAGGAGCGCAGGCTCTATCTTCACCTTGGACACGAATTCTCCAGCTCGCTTCTGGACCCACCTGGACGGTCTGCAACATCGCACAACAGTAACTCAACTCTAACTAAAATCCCGGGACTGGCCCGTGCTGAGACTCCACACTACAAGGCACAGCCGAGCGCTTCCAAGGGCAGATTGGTCTCCGTGGGCCCCTCTCTCTACAAATGCCTACGGGGCCAGATCTCTGTTTTGTCATCTCATTTATATGTGACCTGGGGAAGGTAATGCTGTCCTTGCCCCTAGCTCTCTCCTACTTCCATCTTCAAACAATTTCTACAGAAATTCTGAGAAACAAACCAGAATAAAGAGCACAAACTGAAACCAAACCTCTTGGTGGGGAGATTCATCCCCAAATAAACAGAGAACCCCTCTGTAGTGACCTTGAGGATATGAAGAAGAATCACTCGAAGAAGAAATAAACCAGGGGTGGACAAGTCAGAATTGGCCACGGTAAAAGGAAGGGCTGCTGCTTGTGCCAGGAAGAAGGGAGAGCTTAGCTCATCTGCTAGTTTCTTATGGCTGGAACAAAGAATTCAATAGGGGAACAAGTGAGAGATGAACTTGGAGATGAGCAAGAGTCAAATCCTTTGTGCTATGATAAGAAATTCGAACTTAACCCCAAGGTAATCAAGAACGAAGGGTAATTTTTGAACAGGAGGATCCTGAATCTTAATCTAAGAAACAGTGCCTTGGCAAATGAGACAATTCCAGCACCATCCTGAGTCCCACTAAATGTGCAGTTGGCAGGTTCCCGGGATCTTCACATTATTTAATGGACTAGCAGTCTTTTAAAGAAAAGGGCAATTTTTTAAATTATAGATTTTTGGTAAGATGATGTAAAAATAAAAAAAGCAATTCTGTATAACAATAACAAACACTACACTGCACATCTCAGTTCTTTCCTTGTCTTGTAGGACAAGTGAGCATTCCAGAGAATTTCTGCATGACCAGCTGTTCATCTTTTAACAGAATGCCATTCTTCTGCTCATTTGGAAAGAACACCTCCTTTAAGTGTGTAATTCAGAGTCCCCGAGGGCAGGTGAATTTGGGAAAGACATTTTATATGAAAAAAAAAGTGGTACAATACAAACTTGATTGGGTGAAAAATAAGATGTAATCTGGAAGCCCAAACCATTTTCTTAGGAGAAACTCAATATATTTGGTGTTATCCAATCTGCAGTTTATCAAGATGCAACACACACATTTTATTTAAATTTCTTCAGGATGTCCAAACAAGCACAATTTTCAAACGCACTTATTTTATTATTGAGACTTTAAAACTCGGAATTTGCAGTTGAATATTTCATGACTTAGTGACGGTGACTAGCTCAGAAGTATGTGTTCTCTCTGACCACAGGGCACTTTTACTGAAAATCTCAGTAGTATAGGAATCTTGTAGATGGGTGACAGCTTTGATCACCACCAATTCACAAAAATGATCATATTGACGATGAATTCACAAAATATGAATTATAAGAAATAACTGTTGTAAAGAAATACCACAAGTTCAGTTGTAGATATAATGAAAATCTACAAGCGTCACTTAGAAGTTGCTAAAATTTAGAAAGCTAGCTAACAAAATAATTGCTCTGGTAAACAAACCTGAAATGGCTACTTCAAATTATATATTAACGGCTGGCTGCATCAAATTGTCTATTAGCATCTGACAGTTTATCATTTTCACCTTTTGGTTACGGTTCTTCATTTGGCTTCAAGGACACCTCCCTGGTCACTGTCTCCGTCTCTTCTACAGGGTCATCCACTTTGTCCCAATCTTTTCATATTAGAGTCTCATCATTTTCAATAATATCTATATGCCAAAGACTCCCAAATTAATATCCAACTACTTGTTGCCAAAGAATAAACCAAGACTACCAGCCCGGCCAGTGTTGCACAGTGGTTGAGCCTTGACCTATGAACCAGGTGATTACTGTTCAATTCCCGGTCAGGGCATATGCCCAGGTTTTGAGCTCAATTCCCAGTAGGGACCGTGCAGGAGGCAGTGGATCAAGGATTCTCACTTGTCATTGATGTTTCTTTTTATCTCTCCCTCTCACTTCCTCTCTGAAATCAATATATTTTCTTAAAGAAATTGCTCATAAAAAAGAAACACACACACACAGAATAAGACTATCAACATTTTTAAAAAGTAATAATACTAACATGCTAGGCAAGGGAACACATACTAGTGAAGACATTCACTGAGTAGTTCACTAGAAGAAAAAGTATGAGGGGATTTTATTTATTTATTTATTAATATATTTTGTTGATTTCAGAGGGGAAGTGGGAGGGAGAGAAATAGAAACATAGATGAGAGAGAATCATTGGTTGGCTACCTCCTGCATGCCTCCTACTGGGTATTGAGCCCTTAACCTGGGCATGTGCCCTGACCGGAAATCGAACCCTGTACCCTGCAGTCCACAGGCTGACACTCTATCCACTAAGCCAAACCGGCTAGGGCTATGAGGGGATTTTATACCATAGAAAGCAGGGTTCAACCCTAGCTGGTTTGGCTCAGTGGATATAGCGTCAGCCTGTGGACTGCAGGGTTATGGGTTTTATTCCGGTCAAGGGCATGTGCCCAGTTTGCAGGCTCAATCCCCAGTAGGGGGCATGCAGGAGGCAGCAGGTCAATGATTCTCTCTCATCATTGATGTTTTTTCTCTCCCTCTCCCTCCCTCCCTGAAATCAATAAAATATATATGTATATATTTTAAAAAAGAAAGCAGGGCTCACAGAGTGTTTGCTAATACAAAATTGGTAAGCAATGCTCTAGAAAGTATGTTCATAGGTTTATATACGATGGGTTCAAAAATTTCTGGATGGAATTTGTTCAGTAAGGGTCTGGAGTCACTTAGAGGTCATGGATTTTAAACAGCTTTAACTTGTTAGAATGGTTGTAGTTAAAACAGCCTTCAGTTTTGATATATTGCAGGCCAGTATTACTGTAAGTTGAAAATTTCCCTTTTACCCTTCCCTACTGTACTATTTGGATGTCTAATAGAGAACTCAGATATATGTGTTCCCAAGCTTATCTCCTCACGCTGATCTCCACCTGCAGCCCCCTTCTCCGTTAATAGCATACCATCTGTACAGTTGTTCAGGCCAAAAACCTTAGAACAGTACTGCCCTTGATACAAGAAAAGAGAGCCTTTGCTCAGAGCCCTGAACTTTAGAAGAGTCAAAAGGACATTTCTATCTGGAGCACACTCCTGTACCCCAGGTACTCAGGATTGCAGTGACCCTGCCTAAACGACCTCAACTGTTCCAGAGTATGCATATCACCCGTGCGTGCACTGGTGTGGAAGGAGGGTGAATTTTGAACATGCAGGCTAGGATGTCCACACAAATGTGTGTGTGTGTGTGGGGGGGGGGGGGCGGCAGATGGGGGGGTGCTGCCATAGAACTCAGAGCCAGGGATGGGAAGAGAAGGAAGATGAGGATCAGCTCTGCTCGCAAGTAATGTTCTGGCACTGGACTTAAAAGAATCTGAAATTTGCCCAGCCGGCGTGGCTCAGTGGTTGAGCGCTGACCTATGAATCAGGAGGTCACGGTTCAATTCCCAGTTGGGGCACATGCCTGGGTTGTGGGCTCAATCCCCAGTGTGGGGCGAGCAGGAGGCAGCCAATCAATGATTCTCTCATCATTGATGTTTCTATCTCTCTCTCCCTCTTCCTTCCTCTCTGAAATCAATAAAAATACATATATTAAAAAAAAAAAAAGAATCTGAAATGTAAATCTGGCCCCAAGTACTTATGAAGGTATACTTGTCAAGATAGGAGTATTTTCATTTAACGAACTTTAAATATTCAATCATTGGTATATCTCCATTGTACTCTTGCCACAGGATTGCAAATGTTCATAAGCATATGCCTGCCTTGCAGTTATCTTTTACTCATGTCTCTTGACACCCAATCCACAAATTGCTAGGAAATCCCACCAGTTAAGTCTTCAAACTACATCTACATTTCATCCCTTTTCTTTCTTATCACCCTGGTCAATGGGATCACCATTCTCTCTCCCTTAAATTACTGCAATGGGCTCCTAACTTGTCTCCCTGATCCTAACACTGTTATCTTATAGTCTCTTTTTAACACTGCAGTCAGGGTCATCCTAATCACTTCAAGTCCTTGCTCAAATGTTCCTTCAACAAGGCCTACCCTAATCACTCTAAAAATTGCAACCTCCCAATTCCCCTTAATCCCCCCATAGCATGTATTACCCCCTAACATACTACTGAGTTGTTATGCCTATTGCTTATTTCTGCTCTAGAATGTAAACTCTTCAAGAGGGAAAGGATCATTCCAATCACCTAGTACACTTCTTGGTACACAATAAAGACTCATCAGATGTAGAAATTTTCAATGGAATCAGAAGCCTCAGACATAAAACCAATGTTTTTAATGGATTTTTCATAATGCATCATATTTTTAAATTTTTTCAAGCTGTAAGAAATTTCATAAAAAAGCTTTCAAATTTTGCCATACCAATATATATTTGGCATAATTTTTTAAATGGGTAACTACTACACATGCTAGGCCTCAGAATGTAAATGCTATTTACTCTATAGATGCCATCTAAAATAAATCCTACAAATCTTTTCTTTCCAAAGCCACAAGCAATTTAATAGGTATTTATATAAACCATCATTCTATTGGTTTCTAGTAAGAGCAATCATTGGACAAGAAACAGTAATGGAATTGACTTGATAGCAGTTTTGCTTACCAGTTAAACGGCCAAATACTTGCTTAAGAATCCATTAATTAATACTGGCTTAAAAACATCTGATTTCAGAGGACTTAAAAAGTTACTACGAACTGCTTAGTTTCACTTATAACTTGATTGCAATGTCATAAAAATCTTTAATCTATTAAACTCTCCAATTTGCAATATGCAATAACTTGACAGATTTTTAAAGATGTAGGTACAGCAAAGTTCAAGTGTCTTTCAAAAAAGTCAAAAAATCTACAATAACAAGTGACTCTCAGTGTATAAATGCCCACTTTGACTGCAATTTAACTTCTTAGCCATTCACTTCTTCAGTTTTACATACCATTCACTAGAAATCAATCATAAGTTCCAATGCCAAGCTGAAAAGGTTAAATGTTAACTCTCTTCAATTGAATACTAAACTATCCGGAATTCTTAGGTGCATTAGCTTAGACACCTTCCTTTTTGTCTAACTAGAATGAACTGATGCCTCCTAGTGACCAATTTGTGTAACACAACTTAAAGCAAGTCGGAATAGTAGTGTTTAATGCTCTATTCAAGTTTTAACCCATTAGCAGATCAAGCACTAGTTGTCTGTCCTTTTTATAGCCTAATTCGGGTTCCTGGTGCTCTCATCTAGTCTCTTGTAATAGCCCAACCCGTGATTACACACTATCCTATATGTTGTGTTGCTACCAGTTCTATTCCTTAAGTATCACAGAAAACTTTGTTGCCTCCTACTGTATCTGAGAACATTTTAATTCCTTACCCTGGCATGACCTCCCCCCCAACCCCCCACCCCCTCACCTCACACATACAGAATAACTCCTACTTACCTTTACACTTTAGTCTAAAGTGTCAACTCAAAGTGAGCTTACTTGTGCTATCTGCTTTCCCAAATCTTAACACTTTGTTCAAAGCCCAGTTCAAATCCCACCTTAGATTTTTTTTACTGCGTTCTTTCCTAGTCATATTTCTACTTCCAATCTGATTAGTTAATATCTTGAAAGTGTTTTAATCATTGTGCCTTGTGGCACCATGTCATGATGGAGATTGCTGACTGTGGATTGACAGCACTAAGGTTAAGGAGATTAAATGTTAGTTCTGGTTAGAAATATATTGCTGTTACTCAAAACAGGGCAGGCAGGCTGAATAGACATTTTATTGTTAAAATATATTTTTATTGATTTCAGAGAGGGAGGATAGAAACATCAATGATGAGAATCATTGATCAGCTGCCTCCTGCTTGCCCCACACTGGGGATGGAGCCCACAACCCCGGCATGTGCCCTTGACCGGAATCGAACCCAGGACCCTTCAGTCTGCAAGCCATCGCCCTATCCACTGAACCAAACTAGCTAGGGTGACATTTTATTGAAGATGGTCAACAAATAACAGCTCAAGGAGTCTGCTGATGTATTACTTGTTAGGGTAATACTAGCTCTGAAGTGACAAAAAAAATCAGTGGATAAAACAGAGCAGGGCTTTGGCTCTCTTTTTGCTTTAAGTTCAGCACATAGAAGATAGTACCTTTGAGCAAGGGGGAAGGTAGTCCAATGAAGGAGACGAAGAACCAATGTCATGGAGTCTTACAACTACTATTACTCAAAAGTATTGATACTCTGACTTCTGAGTCTTCAGGTGTGGCCACAAGAGAAGCAGCAGATATTCCATGACTGACCATGGAAGCACTGAACTTATGTTTAAGCTTACTTTGAGTATTGCACTGGCTGAAAAGCATCCAAGCCTCTGCCCTCCATTAAGAGCCCCAAAGCACCTAATATCCTTTCCTAAGTCCTCTTCTACTCCAGTAGGTAAATGCTCCTGTTGTTTGCAACCAAATATCGGATTGATAGCCTCTTGGGCAAATCTTCCATTTATGGGACTAGATTCCAAGGACCCCTCCTTCTTTTGCAGTCTTCTATTACAACATATTGTATAGTCTGAGAAAAGACTATTCAATTTGATCATTATCGATTATCTGTAAAAAAGATCAGTAAATGAGCAAGGTCCTTTTCCTGGCTTTAGAGGAAGAAAAGTAGAAGCAGTGAGTACAGATCATTCTTTCCAAAAGCTTGAGGACAAAGGAAGATAGATGATCTGATAAACTTGCCTGGGTGCTGTAAATGGCAAGTTTACTTTAGAAAAGGAACTCGGGCTTGTAGGCTAACGATGGGGGGAGGCGGGGGGAGTGGGGGTGGAGGCTGTGCCACAGGTGATAGGATAATTGACCAAGGGCTGAGGAGTGAAAATGACTAAAGAATCCTGTCAGGTAG